GTAGACCAGGTTGGCCTTGAACTCACAGAGACCCGCCTGCCTCTGCCTCCCAAGTGCTGGGATTAAAGGCATGCGCCACCACGCCCGGCTAAGTTTAAGATTTTTATGATGGAAATAGGTTCTGGGAGAAATTAAATGACATCTTTTATCTGCAGCCCTGTTTTATTTGGTCAAGGAAAGCAATGTTGCATGGTTTTATGTGGCACAAAGCCTTCATAAAACAATTCAAGGGCTGGAGAGATGGTGCGGTTGTTAAAGGTTAAGGCTAACAACCAAAACATAGAACAATTCAAATCTCAAAGGAAATATATAGAAATAGTTCGCCATTTGGGGTTGATTAGGGAGAAAAGATACCACAACCAGGATAAGGAAATGTTTGAAGAACTATTTTGCAAGCCTGGTGGTGGAAAACTGATCTTCTTGCTGTAAAATTGAGTGCTCCAAAAATGATAAAGTTGAGTAGAAACCTAGCTCATTTTATTACTGCAATAAAAAGCAAGCACTAAAAGAAAAAGTGAGTGCTCACCAAGGCCACACTAAGCTGAAATGCATTGGGTTACAGGATAATAGTTAGCTTTTTTAAAAATCTATTTAACCTAACACAATACTAGGCTGGCCTTTCCTAATTCAACCTAGATTCTTCACCCCACTCTTTCCTCACCACAACTCCTACTAGTTCCCAATTCTTGCAAATCATCAGTGTCTCCTTTGGGAAGGTAGATCCTTCTTTATGCAAGAAAGAAAAGGTAGTATCTTTTCCTTACCAACCTCCCAAGGTCATGGCTAACACCATATAACAAAGACAAATTAACGTCACAAGTTTATATGACACTGGAGACTTCAGAAATGTCACAAAGGTACCTGGTGTGAAATGAATGTCCCAGAGAAAAGTCTCAACTATGTTAAACATTTTAAAAGACTGATTGACTAATAAAAACGTCAATGATTGTAGAAAATTGTAATGTCGTTGTAGGTCCAGAGCCAAATTATCTTGAGCTATAGTTAGCTACTTAAATAGCCAATTACTGCTCACCTCTGTGAGTCATCTAACATCTTCGTGACTATTGGTAAATCCTTTTGGAATGTACAGAAGACTCCTAGCTTCCACCAACCAAAGGCTAAGAATATCATCAGATAACATCCAAGGCCTATAACAGAGGTTTCCCCACTTTGCTATACCGCCTACCTATTTCCACTAATGTATTTGAAAAATGCCTTGCTTTATGACTTTCTTTGTTACCTCACTGTAAAAACTTGATGAAACTGGTACCATATTGGAACATGGTGCTTGAGATAAACTGAATCTGTGTGCCTGTGCCATGATCACTCATATTTGTCCCTAGAATAAATCATCTCTTACTCCCTTTGAGACTGAGAGGTGAGAGTTGTGGGCTGCTTTCTTTTTTGTTTTCTTTTCATCAACAAGAGAGACCTATTTTTCTATGGACAGTTGTACAGAAGTATGACTGAGGACAAAAGGTCTACACTATGGTCATTTGGAAATACCTGTCTGTCCAGATTTGTGTTGCCTCTGATCACAGGGTTGGACCTTCTGCAATAAGGGTAAGAATCTTGTATTGGTTACTTTTCTGTTGCTATGCAAAAACACCATGACCAAGTCAACTTGTAGAAGGGAGAGTTTATTTGGCTTACAGTTCCAGAGGGATGGGTTCCATCATGGCAGAGAGGCATAGTGGCAGAGGCCACCAGAGCAGAAAGCTGAGCACTCACATCTTCAAGCACACACTGGAAGCCAAGAGGGCAAACCTGAGGTGGGGCAAGGCTGTGAACTCTCAAAGCCTGCCCCAAGTGACACACTTCCTCCACACCTCCCAAATCTTCCAAAGCAACATCACTAACTGGGGACAAAGTGTTCAAATACTTGGAGCCCATGAGAGATATTTTTCATTCAAATCGCCATAGACCTATTTTCAGGCAGAGAATTCTTGTGTGGCCTTCATAGGGCAAAGGTGAGAGGTTAGAGCAATCCTTGCTTATACCATTTTCTGAATTTCCTTTGACTTAAAATTTACAGTATGCCAAAGTGACATATTAGGATCCTGTGTGCTGAGCCTTCTAGTGTAGTGTGCTATCATGTTGTATGTTTTGAGTGGGAGCTGTCTCCAGATGGGTACCATACTTTCTGATGGTTGTTGGGGGAAGGACACCTGTCAGAAACCTAAGATCAGAAAACAAGTAAATGGGAATGTAGACTTAGGGACTGGCACTCATTTGAAGAGAGTGTGCTTGGGTACACAGAGCTGATTTACTGAATGGAGGCACGATTTTGGGTGGGCTGGGGCCTTCAGGAATTCTCAAGTGCCTTGGATGAGACAGTTTTGCATTGGAAGCCAAATGCATATATTCTTTCCCACTCCCTGTATCAACCAAAAGGTGCCCACATACATTTCTAAACCCCAGCAGAATCCTAGGCAGAAAAGACTGTAGACTATCCAGTTGCATGTTACCTCTTTTTTTTTTCCCTGTGTTATTTTGAACCTGGTCTAATTGCTCCAGACAAATATCAGCTGATCAAAGTGAATCAAGACCCAGGAGTGGTCTCCCCTGCCATAAGAGAAAGTCTTTTGCCATGGCCTTCCTTGAAGACCTTGGTTTGTTGGAAAGAATCCTTTGAAGCTGGCTGTTGAATAAATGTTAGCTAGAATGAATGATCCTCAGACAAGCATTCCTTTATTCAACAGACATTTCTATCACAGTGCCCTGAATATGTCCACAAGGACAAGACAGGCAAGATCCCTGTCTTCAAGGAACTGATATTTGATCAGTGACAAATGATCCAGAATTACCAAACAGGGCTTCTGCAGATGGGTTAAGGATGTGACTCTGTGGCAGAGCACTTCCCTGGAAGGCATGAGCCCATATCTTCATCTGTAGTACCACAAAAAACTTTTGGCTAATAGTCATACCTATTTGTAATATATTTTTGTGATTTTGATCAATTATGTACAAATAATTGCAATAGAAGCAATCTAAAATGAAAATTAGATACCTATTGATTTGGTATTCCAGAGAATGTTTAATTTTTAGAGTTTGATCAACATTCATTTGTGTGTGTGTGTGTGTGTGTGTGTGTGTGTGTGTGTGTGTGTGTATGTGTGCGTGCGTGCCTGTCTGTCTGCCTGTCTGAGAGTGTGTCTAGGACAGAGGGCAGTGCCCATGCCATGGTATGGGTACTCCTGGAGGTCTGAGGGAAACTTATAAGATTTGGTTCTCTTTCTCCATCATATGGGTCCTAGGGATTGAATTTAGGTCATCAGTTTTGACAGCAAGCACCATTACCTGCTGAGCCATCTCACTGCCCAAAAGTTTGGTTTTAAATTTTTTAATTTTATTGAGTAATAAGTGTTCAAACATAAAAATACAGTAAGACAAATTTTTCCACAGAATGTAGAATGAAAATAAGAATTTAGGGCTGGAGAGATGGCCCAGCAGTTAAGAACACTGGCTGCTCTTCACCCACATGACAGCTGACAACCATCAGTGACTCCAATTCCAAGGGCTCTGATGCCCTCTTCTGGCCTTTGAAGGAATTGCATGACACAGGTGCACTTACATGCCAACACATAAAATAAAAATAAATTTTAAAAAATAAGAATTTATGGAGAAATGAAGTATTAAAATGTCTCCCTGTTAACAGAAAATTGTGTGTGTGTGTGTGTGCGTTTAAAGGGATAATGCTGAACAAGAAATTAGTATGCTACTTAAATTCTATTGAATACAACTTTAAATGTTTTATTACATTTATCTATTTGTGGGG